CTAATTTTCACTATCTCTCTCTCTCTCTCTCTCTCTATATATATATATATATATATATATATATATATATATATATATATATATATATATCGATGTCGGTCTCTTCATTATCTATCGATCGATCGATCACTGCCCTTTCATATCTATCTATCCAGTCTCTTCATTATCTATCTATCTATCTATCTATCTATCTATCTATCGATCGATCGATCGATCGATCACGGTTCTATCATATCTATCTATCTATCTATCTATCTATCTATCTATCTATCTCAGTCTCTTCATTATCTATCTATCTATCACTGCCGTTTCATATCTATCGATCTATCTATTGATCTATCTATGTCAATCTCTTCATTATCTTATCTATCTTGATATAGTCCTATCTATCTATCTATCTATCTATCTATTAGCATATTTTCCGGATTAAAAGACGCACTTTTTTCTCTAAAAAATACACTGAAAAATACGTGCGCATCTTCCAAGACGAATGTTAGTCAACGCCTAGGCTCAAGTAAGCTTGGGCAATCACCTAATTGCCTTGACTGATAGGGACGTGGATTTGCATGTTCAGTCATTACACTATAATGTTAGCTATCTAAATCAGCCTTTTGTATTATGTAACCTCAGTATTTAGATGCTACAAGTATTTCCAAGAATATAAACCTTCCTGGAGCCGAGCCGCAAGCTTAAAAAATGCTCTCTTTACTTAGCAGCGGCGGAAGCCTTTCTGCTCTTGACTCGTATGTCATTGCCATACAAACAACATCGGATGAGTGATTAATGTAAATAATATGTGGCCCCAGTTTGTGAGGGATGCATGTTGAATGTGTTGTTCTATGAGAATGACTTTTTTTCTTAGAAATTTCTTTCCAATATTAGGGTATGTCTTCCAAGCCGCAGCGTCTTGTACGCCAGAAAATACGGTATTTCATTTTCCCTTAGAGCCACATCACGTCGAAATACCGTTTACCGTACGATCACCAAAGTTAAGCATCGTCGAGCCTTGTCAGTACCTAGATAGCTGACCGCTTGTGATTACCAGTTGCTCTAAGTTTGGATGTGCAGGTGGCATAATGGATAACGGCTCGGAATTCTTTTGTTTGTTATATTCCCTTACGATAAAATACTCTTGGGAAAGGTAGGAATCTCCCCATAGCTATGGGTTAATCAGCAAGACTTGTATCACTAAACCATTATTTTATCCACCTACCGACCAAATTCTGAGAATCTAAAAATAATTCCTATAAATTTACTTATAGGCCCATCCCTCTGTATTTTATCCATCACTTACATTTATATTTTTTGAATTATTTTACATTATCCCCCCCTCTCTCTCTCTCTCTCTCTCTCTTCTCTCTCTCGCTTTCTGCTATTGTTTTCTATCTTTCTTTCTTTCTTTCTGCTTTCTTTCATTTGCATTTTCTCTTCTTTTTTCTCATTTTTGCTTCTTTTATTTTTATTTCACTTTTCTTTCTTTTTCATTCTTTATTTTTTTATTAATTTTTTGTTTTCTTTGATTTTCTTTCTTTATTTCCTCCTTTTTACATTTCCATTTTGTCTCTCTTTTCCTCATTTTTCATTTTCTTTCTATTTTTTTTTTTTTTTTCTTTCTTTTCCTATTTCTTTCTTCTTTCTTTTTTTGCATTTTCCCCCTCCTTTTTTTTTTCCTTTTTTATTTTATTTTATTTATTTCACGTTTCTTCTTACTTTCTTCCTTTCTTCGTTATTTTCTTTCTTCCTTTCTTTCTTTTTCTTTCCTTTTCTTCCTTTCTTTTTTTTTTCTTTCCTTTTTCTTCCTTTCTTTCTTCTTTCTTTCCTTTTTCTTCCTTTCTTTTTTCTTTCTTTCCTTTTTCTTCCTTTCTTTCTTTTTTCTTTCCTTTTTCTTCCTTTCTTTCTTCTTTCTTTCCTTTTTCTTCCTTTCTTTCTTTTTTCTTTCCTTTTTCTTCCTTTCTTTCTTCTTTCTTTCCTTTTTTTCTTTCTTTTTTCTTTCCTTTTTCTTCCTTTTTTCTTCTTTTCTTTCCTTTTCTTCCTTTCTTTTTTTTCTTTCTTTTTCTTCCTTTCTTTTTTTTTCTTTCCTTTTCTTCCTTTCTTTCTTCTTTCTTTCCTTTTCTTCCCTTTCTTTCTTTTTCTTTCCTTTTCTTCCTTTTTTTTTCTTTCTTTCCTTTTTCTTCCTTTCTTTCTTCTTTCTTTCCTTTTCTTCCTTTCTTTCTTCTTTCTTTCAATTACATACACTCTTTCATTTTTTCTCGTTTTTCCTTCTTTCTTTTATTTTTATTTCACTTTTCTTTCTTTTTCATTCTTTATTTTTTTATTAATTTTTTGTTTTCTTTGATTTTCTTTCTTTATTTCCTCCTTTCTTACATTTCCATTTTGTCTCTCTTTTTCCTCATTTTTCATTTTTCTTTCTATTTTTCTTCCTTTTTCTTTCTTTCTTTTCCTATTTCTTTCTTCTTTCTTTTAACTGCATTTTCCCCCTCCTTTCCTCATTTTTCCTTCTTTATTTTATTTTTATTTCACGTTTCTTCTTACTTTCTTCCTTTCTTCGTTATTTTGTTTCTTCCTTTCTTTCTTTTTTCTTTCCTTTTTCTTCCTTTCTTTTTTCTTTCTTTCTTTTTCTTCCTTTCTTTCTTCTTTCTTTCCTTTTTCTTCCTTTCTTTTTTCTATCTTTCCTTTTTCTTCCTTTCTTTCTTTTTTCTTTCCTTTTTCTTCCTTTCTTTTTTCTTTCTTTCCTTTTTCTTCCTTTCTTTCTTTTTTCTTTCCTTTTTCTTCCTTTCTTTTTTCTTTCTTTCCTTTTTCTTCCTTCTTTTTTTTTCTTTCCTTTTTTTCCTTTTTTTTTCTTTCTTTCCTTTTTCTTCCTTTCTTTTTTTCTTCCTTTTCTTCCTTTCTCTTTTTCTTCCTTTTCTTCCTTTCTCTTTTTCTTCCTTTTCTTCCTTTCTCTTTTTCTTCCTTTTCTTCCTTTCTCTTTTTCTTCCTTTTCTTCCTTTCTCTTTTTCTTCCTTTTCTTCCTTTCTTTTTCTTTTTTCCCTTTTCTTCCTTTCTTTTTTTTCTTTCCTTTTTCTTCCTTTTTTTTTTCTTTCTTTTTCCTTTCTTCCTTTTCTTTTTTTCTTTCCTTTTCTTTCTTTCTTTTTCTTTTTTCCTTTTCTTCCTTTCTTTCTTCTTTCTTTCCTTTTCTTCCTTTCTTTCTTCTTTCTTTCAATTACATACACTCTTTCATTTTTTCTCGTTTTTCCTTCTTTCTTTTATTTTTATTTCACTTTTCTTTCTTTTCATTCTTTTTTTTTTATTAATTTTTTGTTTTCTTTGATTTTCTTTTTTTTTCCTCCTTTCTTACATTTCCATTTTGTCTCTCTTTTCCTCATTTTCATTTTTCTTTCTATTTTCTTCCTTTTCTTTCTTTCTTTTCCTATTTCTTTCTTCCTGCATTTTCCCCCTCCTTTCCTCATTTTCCTTCTTTATTTTATTTTTATTTCACGTTTCTTCTTACTTTCTTCCTTTCTTCGTTATTTTCTTTCTTCCTTTCTTTCTTTTTTCTTTCCTTTTTCTTCCTTTCTTTCTTTTTTCTTTCCTTTTTCTTCCTTTCTTTCTTTTTTCTTTCCTTTTTCTTCCTTTCTTTCTTCTTTCTTTCCTTTTTCTTCCTTTCTTTTTTCTTTCTTTCCTTTTTCTTCCTTTCTTTCTTCTTTCTTTCCTTTTTCTTCCTTTCTTTTTTCTTTCTTTCCTTTTTCTTCCTTTCTTTCTTTTTTCTTTCCTTTTTCTTCCTTTCTTTCTTCTTTCTTTCCTTTTTCTTCCTTTCTTTCTTTTTTTCCTTTTTTTTCTTTCTTTCTTCTTTCTTTCCTTTTCTTCCTTTCTTTCTTTTTTTTTCCTTTTTCTTCCTTTCTTTCTTTTTTTTCCTTTTTCTTCCTTTCTTTTTCTTTCTTTCCTTTTCTTCCTTTCTTTTTCTTTCTTTCCTTTTCTTCCTTTCTTTCTTCTTTCTTTCCTTTTTCTTCCTTTCTTTCTTTTCTTTCCTTTTTTCCTTTCTTTCTTCTTTCTTTCCTTTTTCTTCCTTTCTTTCTTCTTTCTTTCCTTTTTCTTCCTTTCTTTCTTCTTTCTTTCCTTTTTCTTCCTTTCTTTTTTCTTTCTTTCCTTTTTCTTCCTTTCTTTCTTCTTTCTTTCCTTTTTCTTCCTTTCTTTCTTCTTTCTTTCAATTACATACACTCTTTCATTTTTTCTCGTTTTTCCTTCTTTCTTTTATTTTTATTTCACTTTTCTTTCTTTTCCTTATTTCTTTCTTTCTTTCTATATTTCTTTCTTTTTTAATCTATCTCTAAGGTCACACTCATTTTATTTTCTTTGGAAACTTTTTGCTTCCCTAACGATTGCTTTTCGAAAACTGTTCTTTTTCTCTTCATTTCGGAAATTCTCTTTAAAAGTTTTCGCCAAACGCCTCCAATGTTCAACAATTCTCATCTTAACTGACATCTTAATCCAAAAGAACAAAACCCTTCGATCAGAATCCAAAAATCTTAACTCCCCCCCCCATCACTACAATTTCACAGCATTGTATTTGGATAATTTATTTTTGGTCTACGCTTCGCTAAATCATTGGCATCTTTCTTTTCATTTTATTTTTATGCGGTGGGAATCTTATGACTTTCTCGATTGTTCACTTTGATCTTCCATCTTTCCATTCAGTTTTATATGCCGCTTTCTTGTTTTTTTTCTCCAAGAATTGTTTTCTCTGCTTGTGTGTATGTATGTGTGTGTGTGCGTGCGTGCGTGAAAGAAAGAAAGAGAGAGAAAAAAAGACAGTGTATTTGTCTTTGCAGGCGTGTGTGTGTGTGTGTGTGTGTCACAGTCTAGCCTCTTCTTTCTTTCTTGAAAGCTCAACAAAAGAAACTTTCAATAGGTTTACGTTTTCCCATCTTCCTTTCTGTCTGAATCTATGTCCGATATTTACGATACATCAACTCTCAATTTCTGCTCCACCAGCCTCTTAAGATTCCCTTTCTTTTCATTTTTTTATGTCATTTCTTTTACTTTTTCCACCTCTTCTATTTTTTCTTTCATTTTCTTTTCTTTCTTTTTTTTTTTGTTCATTCACTTCCTTTTCTCTTCTTTTTTCATTTCCTTTACTTTTTCCAATTCTATTTTCTGTTCTTTTTTCTTTCTTTCTTTTTTTTTTGTTCTTAAACGTTCTTTTCTTTTTTCATTTCTTTTACTTTTTCCACCTCTGTTATTTTTTCTTTCATTTTTTTCTTTCCTCACGTTTAAATATCACAATCTCAGGAGGCAACTGATAGCGGCTCGGACTGAGGAATCGCAGGACCGAGTTCGAATTCCAGTTGAATCTATTGCATTCACTTACGTGCTAATACCTTTAGGAAATGTATGAATCCTCTTCTCCCCCCCCCACAGATATGTGTAAATAGCAGGACAGACTGGGTTTCTATAGCCTTGAATGGCAACTGGTCTACCGCAAAAAGAAATGGCAGCCTACTGCGGGAAAAAATCTGCCTCGTCGAAAGATACCTGATCGCCCAAGTGTGTATCATACACGACACATAACAGACTGCAATCTCATGAATACTAATTTTGTATGTGGTCATTATTGTCATTCTCATAATTCCAAGCAAGGCAATAAAGCTACTAAGATGCTAATGTTAAAGAATATGTGAAAAAACACTATTAAGAAGAAAGAACAAATAAAAGAACAAGAATTAAGAAGACACAAGATAACAATTTACATTGCTATTAAAGATTTGAAGATCAAAGTTGACTTGAAAGGTAGAAGACTCAAAAGAGATACACAAGAAAGAAGGCGATAGAAGAAACTACTAGCATAGAACTTACGGCTAAATCTAGCCATTTTTTTTTCTTATATTGTAATCTTTCCTTAATTTATTTTTCTCGCGTTATTTGTCACCCAGTAATCCCTTACGTCTTAGTGGCTTTATTGCCTTGCTTGGGGTGAAAGGATTTTTAAAAAAAATAGTTCGTTATGAGAGCGATAATTATTGCCACATACAAAATTATCAGAAAATGAGGACATTTCTCAATTTAACTCATTTTTCTCCGAGATAAGTAATTAGATCTATGAAGATAATTGTCAGTGGCCAGTCCTCACAATCAGATCAATTCGGTCTTGCTATCGTTATATTTTATATTAACGATCTGCCTATGACCATTCTCATATCATTAGAAAATGTCTATGCCGATGACACCAGTTTATGGGCGCACCTTCCAAAATCTAGATATAGCAGTAGCCAGCTGATCTTTTCTCTCATGTAAACCCTTGTGCAAATTAATTGAAACAACCGCTTTAATTTCCTTTCTTTCATTATACGGTCCGTTTTAGATCCACTGAAGTGACAGGGTGTAATCGATTTCTATTTTTTCCTCGGATTAGGTCATGTGGAGGGGTATGCAGTAATATGAATCTATTTCGGGGTGTATGATGAAATTTGTTTGGCCTTGAAAAATATTGTGTCATCCGTGATTGCATCAGATTTTCATCACGTCCAGACACTATTGTTTTGACTGTCGATTGATTGTCCTATGGCCATTTTTTGCGATGGACATTACTCCAAGGAAGCGTACTGAAATTGTAACACTGCACGAACACACTGTCAAGCCATACCAGTGAGCAAATTAAAGTACTACAGACTGACCCGGATGGTATTCTACGAAACACTTTCTTCTAATCCAGCTGTTTGGCAATATCTCATCAAGGTAGGATCTAACATCGTGATGGTCATCTGGGGGTGCCTCATCTTGGTGAAAATAAAACTCCTCATCTTCAAGGTACTCTCTAACGCTTGACATGAAAGATTGTTTCAGTTGTTCAAGTAAAGGGGGCCCGTCACTGTAGCGTCAAAAAGAAAGGGATTCTCATTATTATCATTATATCATAGTTTCTAGCTTTTAAAAAAACCTGCAATGGCTTAAGCCGTAAAAAGCAACTTAATCATTTCAAACAAAACATTAGACATTTTGTTTTTGGTTGTTTTTTTTTTTGTTTGTTTGTTTTTTGTTTTGTTTTTTGTTGTTTTTGTTTTTCGTTTTTTTTTTTTTAAGCATTTCACCTCAAGCAAGGCAGGATGCCACTAGCACACAAGGGGTTACACAGAGTTGGAGCGAGAGTAAAGAGGCGTAGTAGAGGAAAATATAAAGAGAACAGGAAATAGATCAAGGCATCTGGAGATGTCGATTGACATTACATTTGAATAGTTAGAGATTATAACTATCAGAGAAACAAGTAATAGGAAGGGAATTCCACAGACGAGAGGTGCGAAGCATGAATCTATTGGAGTAGAAGAGACGGCTACATTTAACAGTTTCGACAGTGACAGGGTGAGACCTGACTCGAAATAATGTAAAATGTTCCTTTCAGAAATATAATAAAATTCAAAATGCTACGTTAAACACAACAAAGATGAGGATACTCAAAAGAAAAGTATGGAAGCACGAAAGTTGTTCACCTCGGAAGTTGGGAAATAATTAATGACACTTTATTCAGCAATATTCCTACGCGTTCACTCAGTTCTGTTAAGATTTTTTCCTCACTTCAAACGATTTCGTTTATTTCTCCTTCCCTTTTCCTTTTCTTTCCAAATGTCTTACTTAGAAACAATGCCAATTGCGATATTATATGAAAGGTAATCAATCGATCGATCATTCAGCCAATCGATTTCTCTCTCTCTGAACCTTTCTCAGGATTCCTATTTCTATCGTTTAGCATTTTTCTCTCCACAGCACCAGAAAAAAAGAATTATGTTCAAGGCAGTTAATTTGGTCGTATCAACGCAACCGGAAGTTTTTGTTTTTTCCACTCCAAGCCAAACGCTAAGATTTCAGAGGAAGAAGAAAAAAATGAATGAAACAGAAAGCTAATTCTTTGACTGACTGGCTCAGCGGAATGGTACCATTGTAAGAAAATTACCTCCCCCAAAACTTCGTTTGCTGAATATATTATAGAATAAGTCGACTTTTAGAAATATATTTTCTGGTAAAAATAACAGGCAACCGAAATATATGAATCCATATCGTCTCCTCAGCTATGGATTAAATAGTAGGACTTGCATCATTGTTGTACTAAAATTAAAAAAAAATCATTGCTAAGAATTACTTTATGTTTTGGTTTGAAATAAACAACAAAATGTTGATAAAAAGTAAGAAATCAAATCAAATGAAAAAACATTAAACTTTCAAAACGTTTTATTCTATTTTATTATCATTTCACTCCAAAGAAGACAATACAGCCACTAAGACGCAAGGGGTTACAAAATGAGAAAGAATTTGAGAAAAAAAAAGAATAAATTATTAAGGAGAGAGAAATAAAAGAACTGCAGTTTAAAAGACAAAGGATAACGATTGATATTGCATTTAAATTTTTGAAGATCAAACTTGAATGGGAAGCAAGAAGCTGGAAGAGAGGTGCACAAGCGCGAAGTACGAGAAAAGAAACTGTGTGCATAGAACTTACGCTTAGAGCTAGCAATTTTCACTATAAGATGATGAGATCTTGCCACCAAGCTATTACTATTCGAGGTACAACAGAGGAAATTTATCGGGACAGTTACCATGAAAATATTTATAGAAAAGGCACAGGGAAGCTACGTTAGGGCGGTGGGAAAATACCTGATGGTGAGATACCAGATGAAACTCCGCACAATAAGCCTGCAACGTTACATGGTAACATCGCAAATATATTGCTTTGTAACGTGAGATTAACAGAAAATGGATATTTGAATTCCAAGAAGATCTTAGAATTTTGCACTTATGATCTAAATGAGTGATCCTTAACTAAAAATTCGTAAAAAGAAATTTTATACTTTCGATATATATATACATACATATATATATATATATATATATATATATATATATATATATATATATATATAAAGAGAGAGAGAGAGGTGGGGGGGCTAAACTGTCGTCATTTTATATATTTAACTAGCAGCATGGCCCGGCGTTGCCCGTGCCTGATTCAAAAATCGTACGACTCATACTGCAATCGCTATCACTTGACTTAAATTTATTTTTGCCTTTCCTTGCATTTAAAGGAGTGCCCTTTGCCGTGCTAATGTTGCTACATGCCTTACTTCTTGCCTATCTCACACTGCGAATTTTTTCTAAGCTCTATACTAAACATTAAATCTGTTACGAAAAAAGAACTAAACAAAATGAACACAAAACGATCAGCTTTAAAAAAGGACCCGTAACTGGAAAAACCGAATGAAAAAACAATGTTAACAACAAATACTTTTTCACACCCAACCCAGTTTTCTGAAATATTGAGACTGGTCATACTACTTGGGCGGGGATGTTGTTGCCTTTGTTTTGTTAACCCAGTACTTTGGAAACCATACATTGATCCGATTTTAAGTTCAAATAAAAAGAGCTCAAAAGTGTTTAACAACGCGATGTCAACTGCACAGAGTCCAAAATGAGGTGAAAAGCTTAGATGTACTGGGCCGCGTAGTGCAGGCGAGACATTCAACTTAAAACCCCCAAAAACCGTATCACCTGCGAGTTAATCGTTTTTTTTTTACAAAGTTTGAGTCCCAAATAAAAAAAAATCGGGCTCCGGCATGACACAATGACGTAAATTGAAAAATCGGATCTGGGATGCGGCCTGGGAGAAAGAACAAAGTTTAAAGGAATGGGAAATGGATTGCTGAGGGCATGGTCAACACGGAGGTTTGTATCGATTTTTGATTCACGACGGGGTCACACGGCATTCTATGCAAGGCACATCTAACTGGGCCGCGTAGGAATTTCTGGTTGAATTGTAAAGAACGCCCGAAATTTTAGAATGTAATCCACCCAAATACCGGAGTACCAGCCGATTTACCAATTTTTTGAAAGCCTGAATTGGAAAATGGACTGCTGAGGGCGGAACTATTTTCACTCAGCACGTATGCGAGTTTTTTTCAGTAAAGACGCGAATAAAGGAAGTCCTTATTTTGGTAAGATGCGACGATTAAAGCAAAAGTGTTGACAAAGTCGAATATGTCATTTGTGTCTCAAAGTCAAACCTGGTAGCAGGGATAAAAAAAAACGAATTTCAATGGCCCTGCACCCATTCCAGAATTTGACGTTAAATGTTTTCTTTCACGCCACTGCACGCATTGACCTGTTCCTTCCCGCGCATAGCGTGACCTTAAATTAATCTGCATTTAGGAAACACCCAACCGGAAAAACATTTTTAAGGGTTGACTGTTTGGGGGGTGCTCAGAGTTGAAACTTCACATGATGACTCC